TGGGGATGTGCGCCAATGTTTTGGGTGAATGTGATCAGTTTAATTTTTTCATATGATATTTTGGTGTGTTGGGCACAGTGGCAGATCCAAGATTTGCGAGATGATGAGTCACTATTAATCATTAATCACATGTAAAAATAATTTTTTTTTCGAGTCTAGTTCATAATTGATTTCAATCCAAAATTATGTATAAAAAAAATTATATTATAACTAAATTGATTTCAATCCAAAAATCGTACACAAAAATCCATAATACAACCAAATATAGTACTTACTATCTTTCTTTAAAAAAAAAACCCAAATAATACTTAAAAAATCCATCTTACAAGCCAAAAGTACTACAAATAACATGTACTAACAAACAAATAGTGCACAACTAATAGTAGCAAAAAAAAAAAAGTCAAATGACCTTAGAGACCTGTTGTTAGTATAACAGGTCTCTTTTAAATAAAAAAAGTAAGCAACGAGAAAAAGAGGAGTGATACTGCTTATCATCTAAGAGACCGGTTATACTAACAATCGGTAACCGGTGTCTTTTGATTGTAAGAGAAAATAAAGAGCGGGAATAAATAAGAAAGCAGCAAGGGGTGATACTACTAGCATCTAAGAGACCGGTTATTTTCTTTGATTGATTTTTTTTTAAAAAAAATTAAACTTCAAAAAAAAAAATTTGGGCTGGTGATACACGTGCACTAGTGTGCACTAATATAGATCCGCCCATGGTTAGACCCTATTCATTTGAGCTTCAAAGCAGAGCAAAACAAATTTCAGCAGAGTAAAACAGGTGTCAGCAGAGCTAGGTAAAGCAGATTTTAACAAAACAGAGCATAGCAAAGCAGATTTTAACAGAACTGACCACATCAACGCAAAAAAACATGGCCTTAGTGTGTATGATGTACTATACATTTCGTCGTGCACATTCACTTACCAACCCATGCACAAGTTATTAATGTAAATTGAGAATTAACTTGATTTATTGTTGTATTTTTATATTCATCTATCTAAAATTAATTGTCATATTGTCTCAACCCTCATGAGAAGTAATTATTTAAAAAAAAAAAAACTAGATTTGTTATGAAAATAAGGAGAAAGGGAGAATATTAGAGATAGATGTAGATGGTAAATCCTTGTTCTTGTTTTTCATCCATTTCATTAGACCATATATATATATACACAATGTGAACAATGTAACCTATATGGACAATAAAGAGTCCATTCATGAGGGGGTTACAATGTGAACTAATGACATATGGGGGTTACAAGGAATTTACAAAGGTAGTCATATTATTGAGGGAGTTACAAACTATAATGGGCATACACAATTATTATATTTTGTAACACTCCCCCTTGGATGCCCATTATCTAAAAGAGATTCAATGCGCTTATATACTGCCTCATTAAAAACCTTTCCAAGAAAAACCTAGTGGGAAAAACCATGGATAAGGGAAAAAGAGTGCAGCACGCAATTACTCCCCCTCATTATTATGTCACTGAAGATCTTTGAGACTACGCAATCCAATACGATAAACTAATTTTTTAAATGTTGCGGTAGGGAGAGCCTTAGTGAATAAGTCTGCTAAATTCTCACTTGAACGAATCTGCAAAACATTTATATCTCCATTCTTCTGAAGATCATGAGTGAAGAAAAATTTGGGTGAGATGTGCTTTGTTCTGTCGCCTTTAATGTATCCTTCCTTAAGTTGCACAATACAAGCTGCATTATCCTCATATAAAGTTGTCGGTGCCTCTTTCCCGGATGATAAACCGCAAACGTCTTTTATATGTTGGATTACCAACCTTAACCATACACATTCACAACTAGCTTCGTGAATTGCTAATATCTCAGAATGATTGGAAAAAGTAGCTACAATGGTTTTTTTCATGGAATGCCAAGAAATGGCAGTACCACCGTATGTGAACACATATCCAGTTTGTGATCGAGCATCATGTGGATCAGACAAATAACCTGCATCTGCAAAACCAACCAAATTTTCTTTGGACAATTTAGGGAAAAATAAACCCATATCCTTCATACCTTGAAGGGAACGAAGTATATGTTTAATCCCATTCCAATGCCTTCGGGTTGGACATGAACTAAATCTTGCCAATAAATTAACTGAAAATGATATGTCGGGTCGTGTATGACTTGCAAGGTACATTAATGCTCCAATTGCACTAAGGTATGATACTTCAGGACCAAGAAATTCCTCATCATCTTCCCGAGGTCGAAAAAGATCCTTCTCTACATCAAGGGATCTTACAACCATAGTGCTGCTCAATGGATGCGCTGTATCCATAGAAAATCTTTTAAGAACTTTTTCTATGTATGTTGATTGATGCACAAGGATTCCATTCTCTAGGTGTTCTATTTTTAATCCTAATCAAAATTTTGTCTTTCCAAGATCTTTCATTTCAAATTCTTTCTTTAAACAATAGACAGTTACTGAAATCTCTTCGGGAGTTCCAATGATATTCAAATCATCAACATACACTGCAATTATAACAAATCCTGATCCAAATTTCGTTATAAAAATACATGGGCTAATAGGATCATTCTTATAACCTTCTTTTAACAAATACTCACTTAGACGGTTATACCACATACTCCCAGATTGTTTTAATCCATAAAGAGATTTGTTTAATTTAATACAGAATTGTTCTCGAGAACTAGACTTTGCTATTTCTGGCAGCTTAAAACCTTCTGGGAGCTTCAATATAAATGTCATTATCCAGTGGACCATATAAATAAGCTGTGACTACATCCATCAAACGTAAGTTAAGTCCTTCTCTTATTGCCAGACTAATCAGAAATCTAAAAGTAGTCGCATCCACCACAGGAGAGTATGTCTCCTCATAATCAATACCAGGCCTTTGTGAGAATCCTTGTGCAACTAATCGTGCCTTATGTCTTACAACTTCACCCTTTTCATTTCTCTTTCGCACAAAGATCCATTTATATCCCACTGGCTTTACACCTCCAGGTGTATGGACTACGGGTCCGAATACTTCTCTTTTACCTAGAGATTTTAATACCGCTTCAATTGCTTCTTTCCATTTTGGCCAATCATTTCTTTGTTTACATTCGTTAATGGATTTTGGTTCATGATCCTCATTATTAACATTTAATGCTACATTGTACGGCTATTTCACCAATTGACACTGAGTAATTGCGAAATTCACCAAATGCCATCCAACTTTTTTAAATTCACCAAATGCCACCGAGTTTTAAGAAAATTCACCAAATTCCATTAATGACTACCGGCTGTTAGTTGACCTTTAGTTGACCCACCCCTTGCCACGTGTCACCTTCTGATTGGTCCGTTTATTAAAAAAAAATAAAAAATAAAAATAAAAACCAAAAATATTTTTATTTTTAATTTTTTTTTAAATATACTGTTTTGTGTTTAAAAAAAATATTTAATAAAACATGCTGCGAGCAAGGTCCAGCCAACGCAGCAGCAGAATCGTAGCAGCAGGCAGCAACCAAGAACAATCGCAGCAACAGGTGGCTGAATTTCCAGACAACGCAGCAGCCAACGATCGCAGGAAAAACGCGAGCCAACGCAGCCAGCCGAAACGTCAGTGGGTTCCAACACAGCAGCCAGGAACAACTTCCAGCCACTAAACGCAACCACGCCGCGGTGCTGCGACGAACAAGAACGATGCGACCCAAAATTCGAACAATTTCGAATAAAATCACGATTTTCTTGCGGTTTGATGTTCGATTTTAATCCCAAAACAAGATTTTGGTATCAATTATCAATCTTATTGAATTAATTTGATGATTTTCATTCAAAATCAAATTGGGGAAAAAGTTAGGGTTTTTTAAATTTTGAATCAAACTCTGTGATTTCAAAACGAAAATAACAATTATTTACATGATTTTGCAATTGAAATCAAACTAAGCCCTCAATCAATTTCGACACAACTTGTCGAATTGAAGATCAAAATTTCGTTGTTCTTCCCCTTGTACGAACGAAAATATTCCCCTTTCGTTGTTCTGGTCGGATTTTGCTCCGGCAAGTGGTGGCTGGCTAGGGTTTTGTGGGTGGGCTGGTGGCTGCTGGGGTTTGGGGTTTGTGGGTTTTTTTATTTTTTATTTTTATTTTTTGTAACTTTTTATAAAAATATTTTTGGTTTTTAATTTTTTTTATTTTTTTTTAAAAAACGGACCAATGAGAAGGTGACACGTGGCAAGGGGTGGGTCAACTAACGGTCAACTAACAACCGTTAGTCATAAATGACATTTGGTGAATTTTCTTAAAACTCGGTGGCATTTGGTGAATTTTAAAAAGTTGGATGGCATTTGGTGAATTTCGCAATTACTTTGTGGCATTTGGTGAAATAGCCGTACATTGTAAGCAAAAACATCATTGACGTCGATTTGATTTCGGTTCCATGTAATTCCAGACATGATATAATTTATTGAAATTTCTTCATTTTCAGGTACCTGAATTTCTTCTTGTATCATGTCTAAAGTCTCTTCTGGAGGTCCTTCGGAAAATTTTTCTTCAATTTGACCATCATCAGTCATTGTTCCTTTTCTTTTCCGAGGATTCTTATCTTTGGAACCTGTTGGTCTTCCACGTTTCTGACGTGGCTTAGACTCATCAGCAAATTTAATTTGCCTTTCTAGGACATTTATTTTACATGGAGCATTTACAGCTGGAATATGTGATTTAGTCACTCTTTTGGGGTCAGCAAACGAGTCTGGCAATTGATTTGCTAAACTTTGTAAATGAATTATCCTTTGAACATCCAAATGGAATGAATTATCATTATTCTATCTTCATGTCATCATGTGGGAGTTACAATGTAGAGTAAAGGTATTCTAATTTGTCTTTTATGCATGATTATAATGCAAAGCACTATATATTACTACAATTTTACGTAATCATGTTCACTATAAGTTTGTATCATTTGGCCAATAACGTTTAGTATATACTTTTGGATACTATTTATATATACTTATCTTGTAATATTATTTTGTATAGTGATAAATGTCGAACCTTGCCAAGCTTGAATTTGTAGCCCTTGATATTACCGGAAAGAATTATTTATCATGGGTGTTACATGCTGAAATACACCTAGATGCTAAAGGGCTTGGTGAAACAATCAAAGAGCCTAATAAGGCAACATCTCAAGATAAGGCTAAAGCCATGATATTCTTTCGCCATCATTTACATGAAGGGCTCAAAAATGAATATTTAACTGTGAAAGACCCACAAATTCTTTGGAGTAATCTAAAGGAAAGGTATGACCACCAAAAAACAGTGATACTCCCTAAAGCTCGTTATGATTGGTTGAATTTGAGATTGCAAGATTTTAAATCTATTAGTGAATATAACTCAGCTATGTTCAAGATAACTTCCCAATTGAAATTATGTGGAGAAAATATTACTGATGTAGAAATGCTTGAAAAGACATACTCCACTTTTCATGCAAACAATGTTGTCCTGCAGACACAATATAGAGAAAAAGGATTTACCAAATATTCTGAATTAATATCTTGCCTTCTTGTGGCTGAGCAAAATAACGAGCTATCAATGAAAAATCATGAATTACGTCCTGTTGGCTCTACTTCATTCCCTAAAGCGAATGTGACAACCCATCACGGGAAAGAAACTATAAACATAGACCATTCCAGCAGTAGTGGTCGAGGTAGAGGTCGCGGCCGTGGTCGTGGGCATGGATATGGTAGAGGTCGTGGAGGTCACTTTAAAAACTCACATTCTCACCAGAAGTAGGAACGTAGGGATGATAAAGTTAATAAAGAGAGAAGTGAGACTGATATATGTTACCGTTGTGGAGTGAAAGGACATTGGTCTCGGGTTTGTAGAATTCCAAAGCATCTTGTTGAACTTTACCAAGAATCATTGAAAAAAGGAAAGAAAGTTGAGGCAAACCTTGTTCTTGAAGGTAGTAATGATGGTTTTGATTTTGGCGATACAACTCATTTAGAAGTTGCCGATTTTCTTATTTCTCCGAAAGAGAATAATATTGATTTTGGCAATACAACTCATTTAGAAGTTGCTGATTTATTCACTGCTCCAGAAGGGAATAATTAAAATTATATCGACTTGTATGAACTTTGAGTATTAGACTTAATCTAGTGATTTACTTATGTTAATTTCTATGGTTCTAATAAGGACATTATATGCTTTATGAATTTATGAACTATTTGCATGTTTTTATTGATTTATTATTTTATTATCATTAATTTTATGCTTAATTTTCTACATGTATTTTATTTCGTGGAGAACATGGATACTACTCAAGTTCAATTTACTATGAATGGTGAAAAATTATGTCTTGCTGACAGTGCAACTACTCATACAATACTTAAAAATAAAAAATATTTTTCTCATTTGATGATGAAAAGAATTAATGTGAGTACCATATCGGGTAGTACAAATATCATTGAAGGCTCCGGAAGAACCAACATAAAATTGCCTTGGGGAACTAAAATTAAAATAATTGATGCATTATACTCCCCATTGTCTCAAAGAAATTTATTGAGTTTTAAGGATATTCACAATAATGGTTATCATATTGAGACAGTAAGTGAAGAAAATAATGAATTTCTTCAAATCACGACTGTAGCCAAGGCACAAAACATGTTTTGGAGAAACTACCTACATTCTCCACTGGTTTGTACTACACAAAAATCAATACTATTGAATCTCATGCTATATTAAACCTAAAGTTTACTGATAACTTTGTTGTTTGGCATGACCGGTTAGGCCATCACGGTTCAATAATGATGCGAAAAATAATTGAGAATTCAAGTGGACATTCTTTGAAGAGCCAGCAGATTCTTCATAATAAATTTCCATGTGCTGCTTGTTCGGAAGGCAAGTTGATAATTCACCCATCACTAGCAAAGATAAATTTTTATCAATACGTTTTATGGAACGTATACAAGGAGATATTTGTGGACCCATACAACCCCCATGTGGACCATTTAGATATTTTGTGGTTTTAATTGATGCATCGACTAGGTGGTCACATGTGTCATTATTATCAACTCGTAACCTGGCGTTTGCGAGATTACTTGCCCAATTGATTAAGTTACGGGCACATTTTCCAGATACTCCTATTAAGACTATTCGTCTTGATAATGCTGGGGAATTTACTTCTCAAGCTTTCAATGATTATTGCATGTCCATTGGGATAAAAGTTCATTGAACATCCTGTAGCACATGTTCATACACAAAATGGTTTGGCAGAGTCATTAATTAAACGTCTTCAGTTAATTGCTAGACCTTTGCTTATGAAATCCAATCTCCCAATTTCTGCATGGGGACATGCCATATTACATGCAGCAGAACTAATTCGCATCAGGCCAACAAGTTATCACAAGTTCTCCCCATTACAATTGGTTTATGGTCAGGAACCAAATATTTCCCATCTAAGAGTTTTTGGATGTGCGGTTTATGTCCCAATAGCTCCACCACAACGCTCTAAGATGGGTCCTCAAAGGAGGTTGGGGATATATGTTGGATTTGAATCCCCATCAATAATTAAATACCTTGAGCCTACAACAGGGGATTTATTTACGGCTCGTTTTGTAGATTGTCATTTTAATGAGTCACTTTTCCCAACATTAGGGGGAGAAAAAAGAGAGTTGGAAAACAAAATTAAATGGAATGAATTATCATTATCCTATCTTGATCCTCGAACTAAAATATACCTTTACTCTACATTTTAACTCCCACATGATGATATGAATGGACTCTTTATGGTCCATATAGGTTACTATTCTCATCATGTATGTATATGGGATGGTCTAATGAAATGATAGGACAAACACATTACCATCTACATCTCTCTCTAATATTCTCCTTTTCCCTTCTTTTTATAACACGTCATCATCACCATACTTTAATCAAAGCTATTACATTGGTCAGACCAGTCATACTCCGTAAGTTTACTAGCTACCAAAGACCAAAGTCAATGTTACGAGCCTCTCTTTTTATACAAAGCATTAGTGTAGTATTGATTGGATATTGTGGTTTGCTTCTGACATGTATCGCATGATGCTAGATTGCTAGGGATTGTTTTAAATCATGATGTCATTATCTTTGATAAATTTTTTGGATTATTAGCTTTAAATGTCAGTAGTGAAATGTTTACTTCTTGTTTTACCACCATATAGAAATTAACGACTATTTTTCATGACTTTGGGTGTCTAAGTATTTAATATTCGATTCATGACTATTTTCTTTTCTAATGATTCGGATTAAATTATATGATTTTAGTGTTATATAGTTTGATGACTATTTTGCTTAAACTACTAAAATGTCTTGTAAATTTGTTAAGAATTATATAATTCATGATAGCCCCTTCATATGTAATTAAATCATTAACAGTAGTATTATTGTTTTCCATATAGTATATGTTTATTGGATGCTGTTTAATCTTGTCTTGTTATTTTGTATAGAGAATAATGTCGAACCTTGCCAAGCTTGAATGTGTAGCCCTTGATATTACCGGAAAGAATTATTTATTATGGGTGTTACATGCTGAAATACACCTAGATGCTAAAGGGCTTGGTGAAACAATCAAAGAGCCTAATAAGGCAACATCTCAAGATAAGGCTAAAGCCATGATATTCCTTCGCCATCATCTACATGAAGGGCTCAAAAATGAATATTTAACTGTGAAAGACCCACAAATTCTTTGGAGTAATCTAAAGGAAAGGTATGACCACCAAAAAACAGTGATACTCCCTAAAGCTCGTTATGATTGGTTGAATTTGAGATTGCAAGATTTTAAATCTATTAGTGAATATAACTCAGCTATGTTCAAGATAACTTCCCAATTGAAATTATGTGGAAAAAATATTACTGATGTAGAAATGCTTGAAAAGACATACTCCACTTTTCATGCAAACAATGTTGTCCTGCAGACACAATATAGAGAAAAAGGATTTACCAAATATTCTGAATTAATATCTTTCCTTCTTGTGGCTGAGCAAAATAACGAGCTATTAATGAAAAATCATGAATTACGTCCTGTTGGCTCTACTTCATTCCCTGAAGCGAATGTGACAACCCATCACGGGAAAGAAACTATAAACAGAGACCATTCCAGCAGTAGTGGTCGAGGTAGAGGTCGCGGTCGTGGTCGTGGGCATGGATATGGTAGAGGTCGTGGAGGTCACTTTAAAAACTCACATTCTCACCAGAAGTGGGAACGTAGGGATGATAAAGTTAATAAAGAGAGAAGTGAGACTGATATATATTACCGTTGTGGAGGTGAAAGGATATTGGTCTTGGGTTTGTAGAACTCCAAAGCATCTTGTTGAACTTTACGAAGAATCATTGAAAAAAGGAAAAAAAGTTGAGGCAAACCTTGTTCTTGAAGATGGTAATGATGGTTTTGATTTTGGCGATACAACTCATTAGAAGTTACCGATTTTCTTATTTCTCCTGAAGAGAATAATATTGATTTTGGCAATACAACTTGTTTTGGGGTTTTCTGATGTCCTGCGGGAGAGCTACAATTCCGAGACTGGAACCGGACGCCTGTACCTGCAAAATAACGGAGACTCCTGAGAGCTCCGCCTCCAACGGTCAAGTTAGTACCTGATTAAGGAGTAATTAATACAGAAATTAAAGTAATAAGGTCTCTCTAGGTGAGAGTATTTAATGTAGGTAATCTGCTTTGCTAGCGAGATCAGCCGGTTATTAGTGTGTTCCGTAATGTTTCTCCTCCGTTCCGTTAATTATTCGGTTAATTATTCCGTCCCCTGATTAATGAGGATTAATCGAGTATTTATAGCCTTGGGAAGCGTGCAACTCTCTAGGTTTAAGGTAAACCTAGGGCCGAACGGGCTTCTAGACTGAAATGGGCCTTGATGGCCGGTTGTCCCATTTGGCATGGGTGGACACGTGGCGTGTCTTAAGTGGTCCGTGGAGGACGCGTGGCGGAACCTGGTTGGTCCACTTGTCAAACGGCGCTTGGTGGATAAAAATCCCCTAATCATTTGCCCCTCACAGGTGGCACGCGACTGGTCACGTGTCGCCTGTGACAGGTGTCGCACGGTGACAGGCGACGGCCCGTTACAGGTGTCACCTTGCAGACGGCCGGGAGATCCTCCCGCCCAAATTTGAATTCGGAAGCGACCCTTCGCCTTCTCATTTTGCCTATAAAAGGAAGTGCTGACTTCGGTCATTTTCACATTTGAGAATTTTTGCGAGAACATTCGGACCCCTGAACTTGATCTGACATTTTCGGACTTTTTCTGCCTACCGCCTGTTCTGACAAGCCGACTGACCCGAACTTTCAGGACTTCATCAACTGTCATCCGTTCAGGTAACTCAGTTCTCTTACTCTTAATTTTCTTTTTATTTTTTGAAATGGCACCATGGAAGCACACGACACGCCCTAAGTTAGTGATCAGCCGGTCACCGGGGACGGCTGAATCTAGGACTAGGAGTGCCGCCTGCCCTTTTCTGGACCCACCTTTGCCCTTTATACAAAGTCCGACTGAATCTGTGTCTATGCAGAACGTGATGGCCAGAACAAAAAAGACTGCTAGAATATCAAACTCAGACGGCTCCTCCCAAAGGGTACTCCTCAGCGAAACATCTGACCAGGCGCCAGATGTGGAACGAGGCGACTGTCAAGCTGACAGTTCTGAGAGAGGGACCAAGGTGTTCCCTTCTCATCTAACCGTGGACATGTCTAATTTACCTTCTGCTCCTTCTAAGGGAGAGGAGGCGGGCCCCTCTAGGAGAGGGGAGGCGTCGTTCTCTTCGGACTCGTCAGGGGACGAGTCCGATTCCAGCTCTTCTGACCATAGTTCTTCTGACCATAGTTCTTCTGACTCAGAAGAAAAACATAACCGCCTACAAGAGGCGAGAAGTTCCCATGCAGTGGAGAAGGGGGATAATTGGGCAGAGCCGTCCGCCTCTTACAGAGAGGAAAACACCCCCTACTACTGCAGGGTGCCCCGGGGCCGGATCGCAACCATGCGAGACAACGTGGCGAGCTTTATTGCTAACCACAAAATGGGCCCGGAGTATTTACTGTTTGTGCCGGATCCAGAAGATACTGTCGT